AAATAAAACGCAATTTCTTCTTTTTATGATTGTGTGTCAGTTTAATTTGAAAATATTTTATATCCCAATTTAGCATTGTTTCCCGTTCTTTTCTATATCACTCCGTCCAGAAATAATTTGATAAGTAAAAAGGAAATTTAAGTAATTAGATAAGATTATAATACTATAATATTGCATCACTCCATTTTTATTCGCTTTGTAAAACAAAGATAATATTTTCCACAAATTAATAGAAGATTAAATCACTTCCTAATTGATAATATCTGGCAATTAATTCTTCGTTATATCCCGCTTTGGTCTGATCCGACAAAAGAACAAAGAAGAACATTTTTCGTAGAATAGCTTGTTCCTCTCAAAAGTTCTGACAAAATGATTTTAATGAGAGAAATTAACTGTACAAAACTATGAAGGAATTTTATAAGAAACAACATAATACAACATCCATTTGTTCTTTTTGATAAGTTACAAATGTCAATTTACTATGTTTTCAAAAGCATACATGAATTTCTTTGATTTATATTTGTGTGAATTAATTTCGATGTTGTTCATTAATGAACACAACTCTTGAAACTTGCTCTTCTATTCGTCGAAAAATATGTTCCTATTCCGCATCATCTTCATCCGTTCATTTCTTCCACACATTAGTTGTACATCTGAAAGACATGTTCGATGAAATCGAATGCGACAAAATCGAATATTCACGAACCAAAATGTCATCTTGTTCTTTTTTATTATTTATAGTAAAATATGCTGCAATATTAAATATGTCAAAAGATAACTTCAAATAATTTCATAGCAAAGTTATTGTTGCTTTTTTAGCTTCAATCAATACCCGCTCATTTAAGCCGCAATTTTTTCATTTATGAAATGTGCTAACTGATTAGGAAATCACTTCATTATATCACAAGGAGTTTCATTTCAACTTGAGTCATTCATTAGCGATATCTTGGATGTTGGATGATTAAATTAGCATACAAAGAAATGTTTCTTCCGGTATATTTGACCAAATCAATTCCAATAAATTCATTCACTTGTTGATATTATTAACGATTTTTTTTAATGTCATACGTGAAAATTTATATGCAACGAATTCATTTTTATAATCAAAATATTTCAATTTAAATTATCAATTTAATTCCAGTTGGTAATACAATCTCTCAATTCTTTTCCACTTTACAATTTGAATTTTCTTTCATCAGCGACGAATTAATTGCTGCGATAATTTTGGATTGATATGATATATGCTAATCAGTGATCATACCCTAATATTCGTCTTCCCGTTGTTGTTTCTCGTTTGTAACAATCGTTGCAATTTTTATACCACCGCAATACCACAACGTGCTAACGAGCCCTGGTCAGTGATTTTATGCAAATTTGCTGATACAGCCAAATATGAGCCACAAACACGTGAATGGTATCAGAAATGGATGACTGGTTCTAGTGCAGGTATTTATTTGTACACTATTAGTATGAAATCATAGTGATTGATAAGTGATATTTATCATTTAGCGATTGAATTTAAATGAACCTAAGGGTTTCCATCCACAGTATTTCATTCTTCCGAGCAACTGCTCCTCACAAACAATCCATCAAATGATCCATCTAAGTTCATCAGCTCAATATCTGAAAAACAATAACATCATATTGTGGCAGGTATGAAGGAGTTTCTCTCCAGCTATTTCCAACATACTTCGAAAAGTATGTTACCAATTTGCTAACATTAATACAACGCTGGTAGTTTAAATAGCAAGTACTAATGGAAGTAATCATCAAAAGAGAGAAATTAGAATGAAATCATAATAATTCTCTTTCTTCTCTTCAGATACAATTGAAAAGTACTTCATGAATGTGTCAAATGGAATTTATACCATAACAAATACAAAGGTGTTGGGATGGCTGACACTTCCGTGGACAGTAAAACAAGTGAAATTAATGGCTTTAATGGATAAAGCCCTTTGGAATAATGACAATTTCAGTTCATCTGTAAGTTCCAATTCGATATTATTAGCTGAAAGATATATGAGATAAAGTGCAAATAATCATGTTTAATAATAATAATTAATAGTAATTAATAATCATAATAATAATAACACAATTTTTGAATTTCATTTCAAAATTTAATTTTCAGTTTTTTGTTAAAGCCAAGCAACTGTGTATTAAATTGGCTGCAGAAAGGATTAATCTAAATAAAAGAAAGATAACAATACTTAACACGGAGCATGGAGCGATGTACGGCAAGAACGATGGTGTCCTAATCACTCCGCGATTATCATTCAACTCAGTCCTTACTCACGAAATGGTGCACAGTTTTAATATCGGACATTCTTATAGCGATCGTCAAATTACGGTAAATTTTTTAATTAATTTTTTGAGCATAGTGACAGCATTATACATCCATCTGTTAGATTTTTGTGCACCTGTTGGAAAACAAAAATGATGAAATTTCAAATTTAGTTAGGAATTTTCAAGGAATTATATATTAATCGAAGAATTTGTGATAAAGTTCAAAACGTATCAAATCGATTAAGCAGTTAAATAATTGCAATTACTAACTGCATTGGTCATTTGAATTCAATTAATCATCTTATTATCCATTAATCAATGAATGAAAAATAAATCTATCCTCTTTCCATCTATTCATCTGTGCAATATATCTCTTTAGTTAAAAACAGGAAAAGGAGTTTTTATAAATCAAGAATTTATAAATGATTGAAAATTGTCGACAATGTAATTCGCGAATTACACGTCAACAATAAAAGTGCAAATTTACTATTCTTAAATTTTAAATAAGTTAATAATTGCTTAGATCTTTCCGTTCGCACGTATGGGTGAATATGGTGATCGTTATGATTTAATGAGTACAGCGAATGCATGGATGTATATGTCACAATATGGCCTTAGTGGGCCAGGTTTAAATGGACCACATCTTGATTATCTTGGTTGGCTGCCCAGTAATCGGATCTTTTATTTTGGAAGGTTTTTTGTCTTTTCAAAATAAAATATTAAAAAAAAAATAATATAGATCTATGCATAATATGCAGTATTCGATCATAAATTATCGATCAGAAAGTCTGATAAATGAAATAGTTTGATGATGACATGTTAACAAGTAATGCTGTAGAGATGGCAGAAGTAGCTCAATTATACGGTTGTCCTCATTAAGTATCTCCCATGCATCGTCCAATGATTGGCTTCTGATAATGGTGCCATTTGACAAAAACGATTCTGCAAATGTCTTCACCTTGGAATTTCGTACACCAGTTAATTATGATTCTGGTATCACGCAGGTTTCAATTAAAATATCAGACAAAATTCAAGAATGAAGTATTGAGAAAATTCATTACTCTCAACATTTTTCAAATAACTTCGTGTTCTTTCAGGAAGCCGTTGTAATACATAAAGTTAATCGAAAAGGAGCAAATTACTATTCAACCATAATTACGCACAGCAAAGATTATGATGAGATGATAGTCGGCACCGAATGGATACATTTCCTTGAACAAGACGATCCTGAAGTTTACCCAACCATAAAAATACGTGTAGAGAGAATTGACAAACAGCGACAAATAGCTGTTTTACAAATCAACTCGACATTTAACTCAGTAAAAAAAGAAAATTGTTTTTATAGCAAAGTATTTTCATTGATAGTATATAATGCTACTTTTTTAGAAAACCAATAAGTATTGTCATGAAAGAAAAACTTGAAAGACTGTTTGATATATTTGAAATTATAGATAATTATATCATTTCAAAAATATTTCAGATATCGTGTAAAGACATAAGAACAGAAAATTCAACAAATGGTACAAATGAAATGAATTATAATCATACTTTGAATGGAACACAATTGAAACAATCTGCTAAAATTTTACAATGTGCACAAAATGAGTATATGTTGAATGATTTAATTATAATAATATTTTTTAATTCAATAATTTATGACTAATGTTTATAGTTTTTGATTTTTTTAGGCAAAATTTCATCTCGTTAACAGCTTATAAATGATGGTATAGTATCATTTATAAGTTACTACAGCATATAAAATTGATGTGAAAATCAGATGTTTTAGATTTTTCAAAAATTTGGCAACTTTTGGCATGAATGCTTGTCATAACGGATACGTTTGGAGAATGATTGACCCTTATGATTATGCATGTGTTACAAAAAAAAGGTCATTTTATTGCATTTATTTCGAAATCCTTCCCACAATAACACATTTTTAATTTAAAAATTAAATGAAATAAAAATCAAAACACTAAAAATAAAAAATACTTATTCGGCAATCCACTTTTAATCAAATTTCATATGGTTTACAATTATGGACTCTTCTCCAGTATATTTTGTTTACTATAAATTTTTAGGCAGCAGGAAATTCAAAATCAAAGAAATGTCAGAAATCGTCGTGGTATCTGTCACAAGCCATTAATGCTACGAAAAGCTTTCCCCAATGATAATGCCTGTGTAACACGGGAAGAATTCGCGATAACGCAACAGGAAAATACAGAATCATATAAAAATATGAAATACTATTCATTTTTCAATGGTGAAGAAATCATCCAACTGTGATTCAGAAATGTCTTACAAATTATAATTGCTAAATTTATTTTAATAAACCAAGCAAATTACTGTGCAACTCATCCCAATTACTGTACTTTAATTTATGAAATTTTAATTTCCCGTATTTCTTATTGAAGACCACACGCTACTTAACAATAGTATCGAACGTTTAAATTGAATTACTGATATTGATGCAGTTTTGGTTGATGAAAGTCATGTTTGGCTGACATAGTTCTTCCTTAAACATTTTAGAAAGTTTTGAATGGTTAGTTGTAGTGGACAATTTCAGATGTTGAGATAACAGGAATGGATCAGGAGACTTTGTACTGTTCAGAATCAGGTATTCAAGTTCTAACTGTAAATGAGTAAGATTTGAGTTGTAACACATTGCGCAAATAGAAAATTATTATAATGCAAGAAGATGATAAATTATCATTGAAATGTTGCATCGTTTCTTTTCATCTGATAATTCTGTAGCTTTCGAAAGCTCTAATTTCCAGTTTAAATTTTACATTTTTGAATTTTCTCGTCCTACACTAAGCTTACAACAAATAATCTTTTCCATTAAATTTTTACATTGTTGTTATTCCTCTGTGTTCGATTATATGTTGTGAAGAAATGAATTCGTAGAATTTATTTGAAGAAATGAATTCACAATACTCAAAATACGATGAATTTGATGATTATTGTATCCGAAGAATCTCATTTCCTTTCCAATATCATCAACGAATATTTCCAAACATTTCCAGGTTAGAAATGTCACAAAAATGGTGACAAAACACATTCAATCAATCGATTTGATGAAAAAATATTCCCTCCCATACATTCTTCGAATTTTGTTCCAACACTTTCATTCCGCTTTTGGGATATAAATTATTTCCCGATGAATTTCCTATTGTAAAGTGCTTTTGTCTAAAGTACTCGAAATATACTTTGCCCATTCAATTACTTTTTTGCAATTCTTTTAGCATTCACTTCTTTTCAATTCAACAATACAATTTGCTATTTCATAATATTCCAAGTAGTAATTAAAAAAATTTGTCGCCAAAGTAAAAAAAGAACATCAACGAACAATGAAATATTGCATAAATTAATAAATAATCCTTGCGAAATCGGCGGAGAAGAACAAACAAAGCCCATTTGAATCTTTTGTTTTTTCAAAGGTGACTGATTGATTTTATGCCATTCATTTGGGCCTTATCATTTGAATTGTGTATTTGATTTTATGGTATTCATTTGGGCCTTATTATTTGAATTGTGTATTTGATTTTATGGTATTCGGGGCCTTATTATTTGAATTGTGTATTTGTCGCACTCACGCCATTCCATCTCTCATTTTTATAATATGCAAATAAATGATTGTTGACACTTTCTTCACCTTCTAATTCTTTTATTCTATCTTTTGCAAAAAAAAATTTAATCCGTTCAATATCACTTTCATTATTAAACACTGTGCATTAATTCTTTATTTTTCTATCATCCAAGGAATTTCGCAAATCTTAAAGTTTGCTTACAATTATATGAGAAACAAACCGTCGGACATTTGAATTGACAGATTTTTCAAATGAGTAGTAAAGTAACAAAAATTAGTTACTTGGAGTGAATTAACTGGAATGGATTTAACTCACTCAACATACGTCAAAAAATTGCAGAAACACTTGGAATTTCGCTAATGGAGCAAAAATTTTAAAATTTAAATTCCATGGAATATCTAGTTTAAATTATATTAAGTTATTCGTAGAACTTTGAGCTTTCTTAAACTCGGCGCAATTTTTCGTTAATACATTGAACAAAAACTGGAATTGGTTCAAAAAAAATTGTAGATCGAAATGTTTGTATCTGAAAGATACTGTGAAATTTCCTTTCCTCATTTTGTTCATCGAAAATGGCTGAAAGATTTTAGTGACAGATTAGGCAGTGAGACGATGGTCACCTCCCTCTGCCATCTCCCGCGGAGTTGTGACCTTCATTATTCCACTGAAATGCACCGCTTCGAACATTTCAACTAACTCTTTTCTTTCAGCCTTAACACAAAACTTTTTTTCTACAAAATTGTGAAATAATACATTTTTTTGAGACTTTTGTAAAGCATTTATTAAATTGAATCGTGAATGAAAGCAATTTTCTGATTGCAATTATCGAAATTTGTAAATGTTACACCGCACCTATCAAAGTAAACTATTTGATTTTAATATCCGAGCAACATATTTAAATAATTTGAAGTAAAATTTTGAGCTAAATATTGATCAGATATGCTTTTGCAATTAAGAAAGAAGTAAGAATCTTTTGATTGGGCTGCCATTTATTTAAATAAAGGAAAAAGGAATTGATTTTTTGAAGATTCAGTAGAATTAAGATTGGTTTTTTCATTAAAAAATATATCATGGCAAAAAGTATTTCCTTAAATCTTTACTTCATTTCTAATTTCTTTTTTTGAGATTTTTTGAATTTTTTAAAGCTTACATCCTATCTTTCAGTTCGATGATAAATTTTAATGATTTGTGATCGAATTTTTGCAAAGATTTTTTTGCAACGTAAATAAGGTTAACGGCATATTTTCTAACTGTCGTTAAAAATTTTTAAATAAAACTGTATGCAAAGATTACAACGAAATGAGAATTTTTTCTATTGAGGCAAAATTGTCACAAACAAAAATCGCATATAATAACGATCGATTTTAACGGCGCCCCTCTCCTTACTCTTTCTCTCTCTTTTTTTTTCTCTCTCCTTATCTTTTTATTTTTTTGTAAAACCACATTATGTATTAAGCAGTATAATGCAATTAGATGAAAACTGATCTATTGAATAAATATATGATATAGAATTGGTAATTAAAGATAAAAAAGGGAGATTTACCTGAGAGAGAGAGAGATGACCGATCGATTGGGGTGAATACGACTTTGAGGGAGACTTTTATTGTTGAAATTCGATTGTTTGGATAGAATGAAATATGTTAGTTTAAGGAGATTTTTCTTCCCTTTCAAATTTTCGTCTTACCCTAATCGTTGAAAGCTAAAATTAGGAAATTTTTTTTCTAATTTAGATAGCGTATGACATTTTTGTTTTTTTGAATTATTCGATTATCAATAAAATTTTGTGTCTTTTTTTTGAATAAATTATAGTCCAATCTTTCGATATTTGGAAGTCTTCGAAAAAATTGATAGTTTTTTCAGGGCATAAGATTTAAGAAAAATGATTTGAATTCTTTCTTTATTGTTTTAACAAGTCCTTAACTCTGTGCTATATGGTGCATCTTGAAATGATATTTTAGGAAATCATCTATCCATATTAATTTGAAATTTTAATAATTATTAAAATTAAGAAAAATGATTTGATAACAGAAAAAAATCAAAAAATTGTTTTTATAATTTAATGATCCATAACTAGCAGATATAAATGACAGTGATAATTTAGTAAAAATTATGGAAGTGAAGCAGTACATCTCTTCTGCATTGTTGATCTCAATAAATTATCGAAAAGAAAGAGCATCTTACAATACTTCCTGTAATTTCTGCTTTCCTAACTTTCTCTCTCTCTTAAAACTTCCGTTTTTTCTCAGTTAGGACTTTCATACAATTTTTCAAGAGTACTGATAATATCAAAATGATTGAAATTCGATCATTATGGTGTTTACGGTTATTATTATCATGAAAAATTTGTCTCATCTTTAAAATTTCTTTGCTTCATCATTCCTGTGTTCATTTACAATTTTACATTTAAAGTGCTAAATAACATATCATCAAAAAGCTATGTTGCAGTACGACTGCTTTCAATGATTTTTGCAAAGAAAATTAATTTTCAAAATTTGAATCATCGTCACCAATTTTTCAAATTTAATTATCTCATGTGATTAATGTTTCCTAGTATAGAAAGAGGAAAGGAAACCAGATGACAACGGGATCATCCATCATCGGAATCCTTATTTCCTGTCTGTTTCTTAACCGACTAAATTCAACAACCATTGTGACAGACACCCTTCTAACCAAACCGATCACTATCATCGCAAAGCTTACCCAGTCTGAAATATTTCTTTTCAATTCCAAAAATCTTACGATTTTTTAGAAGATGGTGAAATATTTTCAATTTTTGATGCGGCCATTGATTCGAGAATGATTCAATGAGATTCATCATTTTGCAAAAATATCTTTTCATTTACAAGAATTGTTGTATTTTTTGCAATTTGCTTATATTTCACTTCCAACTGATTTTATCAAAACAATTTTTTTAAATTTACTTTTGATTGGTTTTGATAGGTTATCCTTCATTTTTTGCTAAAAATTTTAAATTTTTAAATTTAAGCTTTGCTATACAGAAAATTTTGCTAAGAGAGCGATTAATTTTAAACCAAAAAAATCAAACTTCAATTTAAAAAGTTAATTTGAAAATTTTTTCCATGATTGAAATTAGAATTTGAATCAGATCAAGTTGATTTAAAATCGAATTGCTTTCCAAATAATTTGAACTTTTCTACTTACTTTGGTTACAAAAGTGTTATCGTTATTTTCGATATTGCACATTCATTTTAATTAGAAAATCGCAAATCGTTAAAATTAGCATGAACGGAAGAGAAAATTAGCTTTCTTTGTTAATTTTGTCCTAGCAACGAAGAGACAGAAAGCTCTTTCAAATTCCTTTCTTCCAATCGACGTCATCTGTTAAGATTCACAATGTTCAATTCATTTGGAATTCATTTATAAGAAGCTGCTGTACATCATTCATCGATGATGTGATCAATGAATCTGTCTGTCTTTCTGTATTCCTGAATCCTTCGAGAATTTCACTTCTAAATTTCACTGTCTCAGCGAATGTAAGAAGAAATTCGGTATTCAAGAAATGGTAGACAATGAAGGATAATTTTTAAGTAAAAATTAGATAAATCTAGAAGGAAAACTTTATATTGAAAAGTGGGACATAGGTATCTTTAACTTTCCTAATAATTAGCCTAACTATCATCCAAATGAACTTTTTCTGAGAAGTAAAAGATTAACCTATTTTTTTCCTTTTATAATAAGGTTTAACGCATTTTTATTTCTCCCAAATTAACGCCTCTACCACTTCACATATATTCTGTTTCTTAAGTGCTGATAATTTTATTAACATTTATTGTTACTCCAAAATAAATTCTCTGTTAAACAGATTATGCAAATTATTTCAATTCATATTATCATTCATTACTGATACGCAATCTTTTCGCTAATCGATATGGCATATCAAATGCATGATCAAAAGTGAATATCACATTCGAACATTGGATTTTACTAACAATAAATTCGAAATCGATTTATTCATTTAGCAGTTTGGTCAGTGAAAGATTCTATTGTTATTATTATGGGGTCATTCGCATTTCCGGCTGTTGTCAACATCGTAGGTTATATTGGATGTGTTGTCAAGGTGTGTCGCATGGACTTCATTGCCACCCTTTCCTAACCTGAAAGTAGCCGTACCAAGGACAGAGGACAGAGGTTTATTGATTGCTATTATCACTGTTGACTATTTGGGGATAGATAGAAATGACATTAACTTTATTTTGGTTGTTGTGGGAAGTCGACGAGATCTTACTGTTAATGACAGTAGTAAACGACGATTTGTCGCTGGTTGTTGGCGCTGTTTGTACCTTCACCGCTCCGTACCGGCAATCCTTTATGTCCTCGAAATTCTCAAAGAGATCTGAAAAATATGCTCACTGATGCGTATTGTGTACCTTAAAGGCAGAGATATCACCCATTGTATGTTTATAATGAACATTGCGATAATTTTAAATTGTGTGATGTTAATTTATTATTTGTTAACTAATTTAAACAATTCTTTTCTTAAAATTAAATTCAAATTTCACCTTAAATCTAAATTATAAATATTTGTATTATTTTGATTTTTTTCAAAAACTTCAACTTTGTCGCAACAATTTTTTCTCTTTAAAATGGCTATTAACAGTATATATAAGAGCATGTATGTTGTGAGAAATTCTCTATAATAAATTTAGTGTAAATTTCGAATTGAAAATCAAAATTTGTAAATGAATTGAATTTTATTTATATGATATCTTTTTATAAAAATATTCATATCGTCTCTCTTCCAATACTTTTTTTTTTGTTTATTTCAATGCACTTTATGATTGCCGCTGGAAAATGTTAGGAATAGTATCATTGAGTGAAAAATTTGAAGAGTCCATTTTTCCTTTAAAGAAAGAATTTTATAAATCATTTTGTTGGCAAGAACTTGATTTTTCTGTTTTTTTCTTTTAAAATAGCAGACAGTTTTCTTTTTATTCGGACTAAAATCATATTGCTTCTTGTAAATGTTTGTGCGTTTAGTTTAATTTAACTAAGAACTTTGCCGTCATTTCCTTATTTTTTTTGTATTTTTTTAAAGAAATTTATATTGACAAAAATAGGAAATAATAGTAGAGCTTTTTAATTTTTTTCATTTCTGACGGCTGTAATATTTTCGAACCTTATGATATTACCATTTTTGGATATTTTAGTTCTTTCGAGAATTCAAACACTTGAAATCTTTTTCAAAAAAAGAAAAAAGCCTCAGTAATCAATAGTTTTATTTGAAATAGATCGTAAATTGAAAATAAAATTTGATGACCTTTGCTGATTATATATTGGGGCGCTCATTTCCAACCATCACCATCATATCGATGACATTGTCATCATTCTCGCATTCGGTTGATGCTCTTCTTCATTTTTCATTTGTGCCAGATATTTATGATTTTGTCATACAAATTCTTGAAATTTGATTATCTGCTGATTGACCATTATCACTGCACCATTACTTATATGACCAGAGCATTCTGTCCACGTTTTGTTCTTTTTTTTCATTCTTCATTCTAAAATTTTCCAACAGAGTAAATTCAGAAAGAATATGTGAAATCGAATGGATTACCTTTGAATGTAAGAAATCAGATATGTTCAAGATAAAAATTCAATTGTATCCATTTATTTTAATTATTTCTCAATGTTTATACATTTTCGAAATTATCTTTCATTACTGTAAAATCAGTGAAATTTCTTGGAAGTAAATTTTAATCGAAAGATTATAGAGCAAATGGGTTATCGTTTCAGGAGAGTCTTCACGATCAGTCACTAAAATTTCATTAATCTGTTTTGAAACAAAAAGTAAAACAAAATAATTGTTAGAAATTGTGAATTTGTGATTTTAGTGTTGACGTATATTTGTAAAATTTACGAAATAAAACGAGTTTCTCCGCTGACACCTTCTTTTCTTGTTTTCTTTTTTCTTTTAACATTTCTTGAGAAATCTCACATTGTCAAGAAAGAAAATCAAATACACACGCTCAATATCTTTTTAACTTTATGACCTAATTAATCTCTTACATTTAAAACAATATTTATCTATTGCTTGTAATTAGTAAGAAATTAATCGTAGATTTCGACCTGATCTATTGCTGTTGACTTTTCTAAGGACCGCTCTACCTGTCCAGCTAATGTATAACTTAGTGGCCAAGATCGCATTTTGATCGGATAAAATATCATCTTCGTTTCAAAATGTTTGGATACTTTTTATACTCTTTAAATATAAATTAATCTGGTGTTAATTTCTTGATGAAATTAATCATCACTTTGATGAAATTAATTTCTTGAAACATTTCTGTGTTCAGTATTCCGATATTCTTCATCATCACTTCGATGAAATTAATTTTTAATGTTAAGTTTTTGATGCTTCAAACGTTTGACTCTTTGATCGACGTGATTGATTAGACTAAATTCGTAAAAATAGGTTACATAAATAAAATTGAAACGGACGTGATGGTATAAGTCATTTTCATTGCTCCTATAGAATTGAAGACGAAGGAGAGATAGCAATACATATGGGGATGAGAGGCGGCTTTGGGCCTACTCCACTGATGCCGGAATCCAGTAGACATCAGGTAAGAAATTTATAAATTAAATTCAAGAAAATTAAATATTTTATTGAAAAGAACTACCTAAAAAATATTTATCATTTTATTTTAATATTTGCTTATTTGAATATTCCATTCAGCAAATTCATATGTTACATATCTTAAAACTTGTTCCGATGTATTCGTGATATATGGAAAAGTTTTGTTAGTAAGATCAGAACTACTGATCTTAACTTCTAATCAATGAAATTTGAAATTGCAGTCAGGTGATTGGCGACAATCATTAGCGGCTTTGTTATGCATACTATTGTGTTTCGTTGTTTTGCTTTCTGTATGTTGTGCTGGAATATATCTGATCAAAGATAAACCTGTTTACGAGGAATTAATTGATTACTTGGACAAATCGATTGCAATCAGTAAAATTAATTATAATCAACAACTTGGATTTTTTGAACTCGCAGAAAATGAACTGCAAATATTAGAACAGCATCGAATGGTTTGCATTTATTCCTTTCACCTCAAGAATAATTATTTCATCGATGAGTTTTCTTTCCACTGAGTAAATTGAAGTAAGAAAATAAAGCAAAAGGAGTTAAAACATATTATGGGAAGTATTTGAGATTGAATGAAATCTGTCAACAATTTTATAGAACTATAATTAAAAAGAATCAATTTTAAACTGTAGTTGAAAAAATCAAATTTAATTGAACAGTATATTATAATTGTACTTATAAATTAAATGTCAGAAAAGATCGAATACTTGAAATTCATCATCGTAATTTCACAAAAATTGTGCATCTATTATCTGTTGTATTTCCAGTACAAAACTTTATTATGGTCATTTTTATTCGCCGATTTGGGATGCTATTTTTTTTTGACCATTTGTATTCTGACATACCTAACTATGGATACAAATAGAGGCAAAGCACATATTCTTTTCTGGGTAAATCATTTTACATTTCATTTTTAACAATATTCTAATATCTTTTTGTTGTATTGGTATTTCAAAAGCTAAAAACTGTGAATTGAATTTTCAGCTATTTTTTGTGCTAGCAGTATTATACTGTGTAACGGAGGTGCATGTATTGGCATTTATGATTTTTCCATATGCATCATTGCTACCAACTGTCACCGAGAATTTATTGAATCACGCGATACCGTACAATCCTGGTGGATTAGTACAGATGGAACAAAGACTTGGATGTATCTTTGATTTAAATCTTTACGCAGCACAAAAAAGGAAGCAGAATCCATCGGTAAGCTTAGTATAATTTATTTTACAATTTTCTTGCACTAAATTAGTCATTCAATTTTGAAAGAATTTATCAATGCTTTTTATTATCAACTGATAATAGTAGCACTGCAATTTGATGCAAGAAAAAGAATAAATGCAAAAATTTTGTCAACGAGACTCAAATATTCACTTGTAAAAATGGTATAAATGAAATAGCTTAGACAAAAAATTCCTATTAAGAATATTTCAACTGAAAATAAGATATTTTTAGACACTATAATATTATATTGCTATTGTAATAAAGATTAAAATTTGAATTCAATTGAAGAAGAGGTTAGCCTGACATTTCAGAATACTTGCGATCCATACATTTCGTCAGCTTTCATAGGAAAAGGCACACTTTGGACATTGTTAGTCCTACGTTTAATACCAGTGGTCTTTTTCGTAGTATTAATTAGCAAAAAGGTGGCATTAAGTGAGGCATTGGCATCGGTAGCACAACGATTTCGAGCAGCAATAAGGTCTGGCAATCCAAGGAGCAAGTTAGTTCCTCATTTTATTATCATCACTTCCGATATTTTACTATCACTATTTCTGATACCACGATACGAATTCATTCATATACTACGAATTCATTCATATACCGTAATTCCATCGTGCAAATGAAATAAAAATGTCCATTGCAGAAAAGTAAATTATAAACAAAATTTTACGAACGGTAAAAGGACAATAATAGGTGTTCCATCATCAACAACAACAACCACTCGGTGAGTTTTTTGTCTCACTTGATAAATGAATCCGGATTTGCACAAAAAAGTTCACATTCGAAACGTTGGATGATTTTAGGCCCAATGTTGCATCATCACAGCCAGCTCTATCATTGCCTGCCGATAACGATCACAGCACAAGGTATTACTATAAAGTAAATGACGCATGTTGCTAGATTATCAGATCTGACAATGCATTAACATAGGCGTCTGAGGCTTCTACCCATGCTTTAAATGCCGAAAGAAGCCAAGCCTTTACTTGAACTGCAATGTGCCTTTAACACAATGTTATTATTATTAACTTGCAAATACATATTCCAACCGGCATGCTCTATACTTACATTCTGCTTATGATCATCATCACATTAATTAATAGATGACTTATTATTCTTCATTACATGAATGACATTAAGCTATAAGCTCATTCCATTTATAGATAATCTTCACACCATTTTATGACAGTTTTTTATTACAGCTACAATAATGCCGCATTTTTTGCGACATCGGGCGCACCTGGTCTAACTGGCTTAAATAGCTCAAGAAGTAGCGAAATATCAAGAAGTGATGCTATCGATTTGTACAGGTTTAATGCTATAAATTTCAAATAAGGATGCAAAATTATTTGCAACTGTTTCTGCAATAATCAAATACAATTTCAGGCCATCGGTGCAGACAAGTAGTAGTATAATGTCAGAGGTTTAACATTAACTATTGAATATTTTCCAAATGAAATTGATAATTTCAAGGAGCAAATAAGATAGTGCATTTTCTCGGTAAATGCATCACCGTAGAAATTTTGTGGAAATCATTTCATATGCTATCACCGAAATGTACTAATCGAAAAGCAATTTAAAAGATTACCATCAAGCTATTAACTGTCATCGATCACTCTCTCTCGATATATTTCATTTTTTAAGTGCAAGTCTTTAAAATCATCATAAATTCTCCAATATTTCCGCAAATATTGTACTTTTGTTTGAAAAACATTAAGAACTTGAAGTCGAACTTTTGAGAAGTTTCCGCTCGCAAATTTTAAAAATTTATAGTCTTTTATGTAGTTAATTTGTCCATTGAATTTGTCACAAAAAATGTGACATAATTTCTTACTCCTATTTTATTTATGGTTTTGTGATATTACTATGAGAGGATTTTTTACAAACTTAATAAGAATAATTTTCATACAAATGACTTAGAAATTGTTGATGATGACTGAGATGAAAGTTGAGGTTGTCAAGTCATTTTTTAAACTTTTGTTTTGTTTTATGTTGAATATTTCGAAATGCCATTTCAATTAGTGTTATTGCTGTTATTAAATGACGTCACACTGATTTACTCTATCTTATACGCCTCATGTTAATCATTTCACAGATATCTTTGCAATACAAAATTTAAAAATGAAGGGTCAAATGTAGACCGCAACTAAACAGGTATGACACGTACAGAGGGATATGCACTCCAGAAATGGTACAACTGTAAGTCAGAAACGATTACTTTGCTTAGTTTTGAAGAGGATTTTGAGTTTCCCTAATCTGTATAATTTCTAACTATTAGTTTTTACCCGTCATCTCATCTTATTTTCTAGGTTGGAATTTACGTGATTTCGTGCTTTCCGCCTCATACATGATTGGATGCGGTTGAAGAGTGAATATTCTAAATATGGCGGTGGTAGGAATTTGAAGGAAGATATCTGTTTGTTCATTTGAAACGAGCATTAGATAGAAAATGCTGTTCATATTTACTAAATTTTATGCGAGGAAAACGCAGTAACAACATTTAAACGGAACATTATATACAGGAAATTTTCAGTTTTGATAAAATTTACAGAAATTAAATAATTCATAGATACACAACGTGGATTCATTATCGACAGAGTAATAATTTTCATCATAGTACTCTGAAATTAACAGTAGTATGAAGTAATCAACTATCGATAATGATACAACAAAAACAGGAGAAATTTGGTACAATTAAAGTATTTTGTTGATTTATGAAATAGAAAAATCAAAGTTTTTAGAGTAGAGTAGCTCTTTGAACTGTAATCACTGTGATTAATTCACCGTGTTATACTACAGCAACTGCTGAATATTTAAAGAGATCATTAAAAGACAGCTGTCAAAACAATCAATTCTTTTAGAGAAAGAAACTAAAATATTCAAGAACAATTGTACCAAATTGCAGTAATTTTTTTTTTTTAATTAAAAGAAACTACTATAAATGATATTTGCATCGTTTTTTAACGAAATTTTTTTGGAACAATCATTGGCCTTAAAGAGGGATCGATATTCTCATCTTGGATGTTTTTGTCGTTTGAGATTACCTGTAATTTAATAAAAAAACAGTCGAAATTTCAATAAGAAATTTAAAAAACTTAAAAAAAATTAAACGCATCAAAAAATTACCGCGTTCAATTTTTCCAGAATCTTTTTTCCCGATGAATACTTTATAAGTTTTTGCTGACTTTTGATAATTCGTTCCGATAATCGTTTAAACCAGGAATCGCTGCCCGCACGTTTTTTTTCTTTTGCTTCAACGGCTATATCGAACATTGTCTGTATGACATAATTGCCAAATTGATCAAAAAGAAGAACATCCACTGCATCGTGTCCTCTTCTAGAAAATCTAGAAGTAGCCGAAAATGATAATTTGAATTTTTTCAAACGATGCCTATTAAATTTACAAAAAATTCTCCACAATACTGCATAATGGCTAAAAAAGTACGTGTCACATTCGTAGCCATCAAAAATTTCGTCCATCATTGCATGAAGAAGCTTGGGTGGAGCATGCTTTAACGCTTTTTCAACAACGTGTGAAGCATACTTTTCTTGCGACATTGATAGTAAATTGCTCCTGGAAGTAACTCGTCAAGTGACTGAATTCAAATACACTATAAAAACTTTCAATCTTCAGAAATTGTGGAAAAATTTATTTTAAAAATCAGTATGAGCAATTATTTAACTTATCGACAACAGAAAAGAAGCTTTTGAAGTCCCGCTTTGAAAAAGATAGAAATATTGTAATTTAGGTGCATCAGTAACTTACAGAAGCTTGCATATTATCGTATTACGGTGCTTTTCCAACGTATTTGACGTTATGATATGCTGAACAACGTAATTTGCATACTGATGAGTTGAATAAGACGGACAATTCTCTAACAGCATAGAAACAAGCTGTTCAAGAAGCAATGTAGCAGGTTTAGAATTTTTTGCAGTTTCCTCTTCCAACTTCTGCAAAATCGAATATGAGGTAAAAAGTTTGGACATCATGAAAAATATCACTGATGTTGCCTTGGTTGATATTTTTGCTCAACTCCAATTTTTTTTTCACTAAATGTTCGTTACCTTGCACCATTCCATCAATTAATTTCACTACACACAAGATGATTAACAATTAATAAGGAAAATCAGAAGCTGAGCTGCAAAAATTCATGCTATAAGCATCCCAATTATCAAACGATTAAGAGATATTGCCATTCACTTATTAGTCAATAGCGGAAAGAAGAATGAAGGTTGCTACAGTGAGGATTTGAAAGTTTACTTCAATTGATAGCTGAATAACTCGGCATCCATATCTGTTCTCCACAATTTCATTTAGAACATCTGTTGATGTCATATACTTATTAATAATGCCACTATATCCATAAAAAGGAACGCATAAAAAAATCTTCTGAAAAATTATATCTTTCACGAAATTGAATCACTATCTGTTAGCGCGGAAATGACCATTAATACAGGCCATATTATATGTAAATTAACACTACAAATTCTTTCATTATTATTTAAAACCTGAATGACATGATTCGCGTTCTGGTCCAGTGATAGGTCTTTCTCACTACCATCCAATTTGTCCACAAGTAACAGGCATTTAGCGACATCGAAACATTCGAAAGCTTTCTGCACTACTCGACACGAGTAGCGACCACGACTGAATGTTACCAAATTTGTTTCAAGAAATGAACAAATAATCGCGTGCTGATCATTTTCTGCCTGTTCAATCAATTTCTGCAAAATAAATCTACTGATGATTTAATCAAATAAGCTTAAAAAATTCAGTAAAAAATCTAAATTTTATTTTTTTGATTAACTTTGATAAGTTAAAAAACAATCCAGGAAGCAAACTTACTTGAAGAAAAAAATTAGCAAAAATATTATCGCACAGTCTAACAAAGATGTCCATTTTTAGAAAATGATCCGTAAGTTTCTGCCGAATAGATATATCTCCACTAACAAAAACTTTTTGCAAGAAGCTAAAAAAGTGGATGATCAGAACTCAATTACATGTTTCTGCAGAAAATAACATTCTCTTCAAATTACAGCTTACATATAAGATAATAATTGTATTGGTGAAAAGTATTATTATTATTAAGATAACAAACTTCAGTCCTCTTGCAGATTCAGCAAATCTTAAAAATTAGAACTAATATTTGTGCTATCTTAAAAAAACTTTCTTTTGTAACGCCTAAATAACAATCATATAGAATGCCACTTTTTCTAGATTTCCTTATGTACTTCCTCAATTCCATTCTATATCGCAGAATTAAAAAATAAGAGTATCCATGATTTTACTGTTAGACTGATACTAGCTAAAATTATATGTGTACGATAGTTGGTAACAATACGCATTCTATAGTTAGTTTTTAAGAGACTATAAATAAAAGGACCATGTTAAATAATTTCAATGTAATAAAATAACACTAGCAAAAAGGAAAATTTCAGAAGTTTTAAGAAAGCAGAATTAAAACCGTGAGCCACGTCCGTCGACAGCATAATCATCAATTCTCTTAATTTCAAGCAAATGTTCGGTAAATGTTCGTGCCACAAATGCATTATTAGTTGAGGGAAATGGCAACACATTTGTGCTGAAATCGTATATCTTTGTCTTTCTATTTCAATATTTGTGAACTTTCACAAATTAAGTATTCATTTTCTCAATGCATTTGAGTAATGAATTTACGAACTTCATATTTCCAGACTAAAGAATTTTTTCACAGTGGATCTCTGATGTACTGAGTTAACCTAAATAATTTTTTGAACGTCTACAATGTCATCGAATCTTCACGAGCTTCACTTCATCGGACCATGTCAAATTGTCAACTAAGTTTTAGCAGAGACTCATCAATAGATACAGGACACATATACACAAACAAAAAGCTCCGTAAAATACAAGGGAACATACTCAGTATGGACATTAGAACCATGTGCAGTTGGTAATGGTGGAAACGAATTCGAAACTGGAACGATATAAGGAGGCACTGCATTATATAATACCTCAAATTCATGAAATTAAGTATGAGATTAAAAGATTTAATCCCTAATTTGAGTGCGATTTCGTGAAATGCATAGCTGAGATGAATAATAGTATCTGGAGATACCGGATTTGACGGAATTTGTTGCTGTGGATTGGATTCCATCAATGGAGTAGGAATTTGGCCTGTTTCCATTTCAGGACTGATATGAACTGAAAACTAACTGTTTAAAAAAGCGGTTTAATAGCCTCAACTTTTACATTTTAAATTCAAAGAGAAGTTTAAAATATAAATAGTCTTAACCTGTATATCTATAACGCTGGAAATTCATCGATTCGATGGGCCACGATGGTGTATGAAGAAACTGTGTAACTGTCGTTGCTTGATTAAGTATGTTTATGGCTTGCAACATTATGTACGTGAACTGAATGCTAAAATTCATCCCATCTTTGGTGATTAGTTTTCATATACTTCTTTGGCAGTTCACTTTAATTTCTTTTTTGTGTCATGTTTGTTCATTACACAAATTTTTAGCTAGACAAGAAGGTTAAATGACAAGAATAATGCCGGAGAGGAGTGTTTGGCCTATTACTGGAAAGCGGAAGATGGAAGCTGAAGTCATCCGGAAGAATTTCCCTATTTTCAGTTTCACTTTCGATTAATTCACTTTTTCAAATTTAAATTTAGTGAGAATGAAGAGAGGGAGGGGAGAGTTGAAAATGGTTTACAGGTGGGAATAATGCTTGCGGAAATGTCTCGATAATTGATACGACGAACAGGAAAAGGAGCGGGATGAAAGAAAGTGTAAGCTGAATTAGGTGCTCAAAGAGCAGAAGAAGGAAGCTAAACGAGTACTGCTCTGTCATCCCCCCGTCCCTCCTCACCGATCCCCGCTCCGCTCCTCTCCAATCCGCATCACTCCCCATTACATCTCTTCCTTTTATTGCACTTATTATTTGAAATTGGCACGTAGGCATTTGAGATTTTCGCGCTTTATTTTACAGTATGACTGACTTATACTGATTTGAAAAAGCAAGGAAGAAGAATACTGTATGGATTACTGTGGTGATTTTAAAAGTGATTTAATTAATTTATCTTAAATTTCAAGAAAGGAGCACATTGCAATTTTTTGCTGTTTAATTGGAATTATTTTGAGGAGTAGTATGGAATGGTAGCTTGTTTTTCTCATTTGCTTTCCTCGGATCATATTGTTTTGACAATACACATTCAGCCTAAATCCTCACTGTTCCAATCTAAAATCTATCGCTGAGGATATTTTTAATCTCTTCTGTCATCACAAATATTTTGCTCATCCCTTTTTCTCTTTCTTCTTCAATTTTTACCATTCTCATTAGCACTGAAGGGGATCACAGTGGTTTTTACTATTAGTTTTGTTTTTTTTAAGCTCAATAATTTTAGGCAGGTAACCAAGTATATCTGAAATATCATTTGTTTGAATGATGTAAATCATAATGACACCAATAACTGTGAACAAAGAAATATATATATATATATATATATATACAGATGTGTGTGTGTGTGTGTGTGTGTGTGTATGTTTGTTTGTTTGTCTCTTTGTCGACGACGATATTTCAGAGCGTGTAACTGTTATCGGTTGATGCTTCTCTTCCGCTGGTTATTTCAATTTCTCCTACCTGTGGCACCATCATTACCGGTTGTGTATCGTCAATGGTTACCTCCTGCAATGAGACGGACTGCACATTGATGATTTTGTCCTCCTTTCGGTTCCATTAACAACCAACTGCTATCAAAAATCGTTTTCACGAAGATGGCGAAGTTCATTTGTTATTTTCCCACATTTCCAATCATCCATTCAGGTCAATGTTTCACATATGTTTTATAATTTAATGGTTGAAATTAAATCCTTTAGTCGTATCCGTCACTTCTTAATACTGTACTATCAAATACTCTAATTTATTATTAATTTCAATTGGTCTTCTGTTTCTCACTAATAGAAGCACTTGTATTTCAAATCAAACAAATAAAAGGTGTTTGCTGTAAATGATAAGCATCTTTTATTCCTGAAATGCAAATAATTCTATCAATAGGAAACTATTAATTTAATTCAGGTAGAAATATAACTCTCTTTAATGTCGATCTCTAAATGACATTTAAGAACTTCATAAAGGTAGATTTTCATTCGGTGGTACTACTGCCATAGTACCATTGAATTTTTAAGAAGAGAAGGCATATTCTTGTCAAATAATAAGTTCAAAAAACTGTCTTACGTGAGTTCACGTGTGGATTCACTGCCATATTAAACTGTAACATTAGAGAGTGATCATAAAAGCTCATTTGATGTTTTACGTAGAACATAACAATACAGTTACCTTTTTTTATTTATGGTGAATGAATATTATGTTCGCTTACACGCCGATATACTTACGTCTGATTTTTATTGACTACCTTCATCATTTATAATTATCAAATTAATTTTAAGCATCGAACAATCAAGCTTAAATTTAGAAATAATTTAAGCTATAATTTAAAAAATAAAATTATTGCATTCAACTTTCTGTATTTATTTCGAAAAGGAATCTTTTTATTGAGAGTACCACCGTTTTTACAAAATGCGTTAAAATAGTCTTTATTTGGTATTTGTCAGCTCACTAATGCCTTAAATAAGTATTTGTTTCCCATGACTAGTGTAAACAGTTCGGAATTTCCTCTATTTCCATTTCGGACATGTTCATTGCACTCAAAATGTAATTTCAGTGTAAGATGTCCTCGAGAAGCAATTAAATTTGTGCATATGAGAAGTATAATTGTCACTTGTTTAAAAATCATTTTCGTTATAATTTCCCTTAATTCCTTTTAATCTATGATCTTTTTAATCTTAACTTTCTGGTATTCCGAGCAATCCAAACTTCATTAGGTAGGAATCTGATATATTTGAACGTTTTGTTTATTTAAGAGACGTGCTATTCATATGTATAATTGTCATGACGGAAATATTTATGATTGTTTTTATAAAAGCATTTTACACGAAGCTAACAAATTTTCGAATTCTTAGCTATTCTAAAATGGAATAGAAATTTTCTGGATAAACAAACTACTTCTAGTCAGTTCTCATTCTGCTAATTCATTCTGCTAATTGTTTGGTATATTAACTCTGACATATCTTTTATCTTCCCTTCAACAATTTGAAATGTGAATAGATATTATCGAATTATTTTCTGGCATCAAAATTGCCGAAAAATGACTTTAAAATTTGACTGTTTATTACTGAAGCTTAAAAATTAAAAGAACAAACAGTGATCGAAGACCTTGAAAACATGAAAATCGTACTATTTAGTAGATATCTAAAATAAGAAGTAAAGATAAAGATAGAAAAAATGATTCATTGCATTTAGTTATCCAAAGAATTTAAAAGTGTTTTTGACATGGTTGCAAAATAAATAGCCATAATTATCACAATTTAAATATTGATGAGATAAAGTTCTGCAAAATTTCTCTTATGCTGTTTGATGAAAGTTGTATTCCCAGGTACGTTAAAAAGTTACATCATGTTGTAAAGTAGAACAATGCAGTATTTTCTTAAAGCTCATGCGTTAAATCATATCTGTAACAACATTTTTCGAAACTGAGTTGCAGTTCAAGAAGGATGTATTAATGCCAGATGTTGTCAAAATGGACGCAACGAGGTGCGCAATTGTTTGCAGCATACGTTGTGACGCATTTGATCGTGATAGTGGTGGACAACTGCCGTATCATTGATCACACGCAAATAAAAACTAAGAAAATTTCCGATGGGCCACTGATTGTTAAGGATTCTTCTGGAAATGTAAATGAAGGTGAAGACGAGGAAAATGATGTTACGTATGTTCTTTTTGCTTTCTTATCACTTCCTTTTTTTAATATTTCAAAATCCAGTACCGCATTTCGAATATATTTGGATTAGTCAGTGATCTCCTCTGTTTTGTAATAGAATTTTAAATATCTTTCAATTTTTCTAGATCAGCGGATCCAAAGAAAGATCAAGATGAAGAAAATTTGGTACCTCATTTAGTTGAACCAGTAATACAAAAGGTACCAGTGATTGCCAAAAAATTTTTTGAGGTATATAAATGTTTATCGAGACATATGCTTCATATTATCAAGTAACATTTCGCAAACTTTTTTTTTAGATTGTGATAAATTAGTAAAAATTATAAGAATGCATTCAGTAAATTCCTTGAAGGCATCAAGATACCTTCATGGCTAGAACCATATCATTGGTACGGCTTGCATGTGCATAATACCGATATATTTTAAAATTTGTCATTTCTCAAATCGTTCTGCAGAATAAAATTTGCAACACTAGTTTGCAATTTGTAGAGAAGTTGAAATTAACACTTTTGCGGAATGAAAAATTTATAGCAGTTTAACGCGAACCTGTTGTTGATCAGTTTCACAGCGGCAAGTTATTTAGTGCTTATAAATGATCTGAAAAACATTGGCTATTTTTCACAAATTACAGAATTTCGAACGTGAAGCGAGGTTAGTACACTCGAAGTCAAATGATTTCCTGTTATTTACTTTAATTAATGGGGCTTATTTAAATCTGACTCTAAACTGGTTATGTAACGTCGCACCATTTCGGACATCAATCCATCGTAAGACGTTAATTGTTAGCTTGGATGCGGAAGCTTGCAAAATGATCCAGAAGAATTGGAAAGAAGTGAAATGCATGTATTTTAAAGTGCGCGGTGATTACAATAGTCCACTTAGTTGGGGACGACAAAACTATATCAATTTGCTCACTCTTCGTTCGCAACTTTTGCTAATTCTTGCTCAGGTTTAATTTGCGTAATTATTTGTTTATTTATGCTGATTTTCTGTAATTTCACTTTTTGAATTAAAGCTATTATAGTTGGAACTACCATATATTTTATTTGAAACTGATGCGGTTTGGCTAAGAGATCCTATGGAATTCTTTCAAAACCAAACACTTATCGATGATGCTGACATTATAATACCGACAAAAGGTTCACATATTTTTATAAAATTGAGAAGAGAAAAGTGAATAAATGAGCCTGAAAATGTTCTTATGTAAACATTCTTTTATGCTCAATTTTTCACATCAGTAAGTATATTGCTTTTCATAGATAACAAGCATGTGATAAACATAAACAAAATACGAAAATATAACGACAAATATTCAAGTCCAATGCAGCGCTTTTTTGCCTATCTACATAAAATATAGTGATATGAATAACCTATTGCAGGTTATCCAGATCATGGCTTGACGTATGCGTTCGATCCAATGATCGTTTATCCTTCAAATGCGTCTCTTATGTTGATGCGTGAATTAAATTTGCAACTTTCAAAGGATCCAAAACTATATGACCAGGTGCAATTGTTTATTTCAACTAAATGGATTATGACGAACTACGAAACGAAGTAGATCTCAGCTATTAAGGAAAATATGATTCGCAATAATTTTGCCAGACAAAACTTCAGTATATTTTTCAAAATAGATTGTTTTAAAGTATAATAGTGAAATCAAAGGATGTACTCGAAATAGTACGGTTAAAGTATTTGAATATTCTCCAAGTGAACGTGGTTGCCGCAGATTTTAATATCACAATAAGAAAAAATCCAGAATTATTCCTCAGCTAAGACACCACAATGAATAAAATCGTAATTACAGGATGTTCTGGATCAGCTGTGTCGTCAACAGTACTTCGGAGTAGTATGTCGTCAGTTTGAATGGAGTGAAGTAGCTGATGGAAAGTGGTTTAAACTGTCGGAATCGGAACGTGCTCATTTGAGACCTTATATTATTAACAACAACTATTACGTTGGTGTCGATAATAAAATCAGTCGGCAAGCATTAAATGACCTATGGTTCTTGTCAGTGAAGAGGAACTGTAACCTCTCAAAGGTTCGAAATCTGCTGCACAAATATAAATCGTAGACGTAAAGTTTGAATTAAAATCGATTAAAAGGTATTTTAAAGGTATATTAAAAGGTATTAAAAGGTAATTAAAATCGATTAAGAGGTATATACTTGAATTAAAAGGTATTTTGATGCCACTTAACAAATTTTTATTACTTGAAAATCTAGCTTGCAGTCGATTTTTTTATTCGTAATTTATTTATATGAAATTTAATGCGCGGTGAACTCTTAACTGAATTTTTAATTCCTGTATTCGTTTGTGTAAAGGAATACATCCGTAAAAATCCTAATATTTTCTTTTGTTTCAATTTTACTTCACGGGATTTATTGTTTATTACAATTATTCTCAATTACCAAAGTTTAAAATATCTCTTTGATTAAATGAATATGCTGTTTGTTTGTTTTCTTTTCATCTTTTCTTTCTAAGAAGCGAGATGAACAAATATCTCTTCCGAAGTCAACTTCATCACTCCGTTTAAACAGAACTATTCGGATTGTTAATGTGAGAGAAAGAATATTATATTAAAAATACCACTGAATTTGCTTCTCAAAAAGTCGTTTTCGCTCTGAAATTATTGATTTAACTTGAAAAATTCTCGAAAGAGAGCGGTACTAGACTGGTTTTAAGACAAGACGAAGAGGAAGTCCAATAAGCATCCCAGCTACTGCTTTAAGAATTTTTTTATTTATATTTAACTATTTCCTTCGTTTTCGCATTATATAGAAATTTTTCATAGTACATAAAAAAAATGCCAAATATTGATGTTATATTCAGATAGAGCGGTTCACTTGCTCAATTTAAGCAATTAGACCAGTCAAAAGTTTTTTTCAAGAAAAATCATTTTAAAAAAAGCATTCGAATGTAAAAAAAAATTTAATGGAGAAGTAGCAGCACTTGTTAATGAAGATCTAAACGAAGAAGGCAAATTCTGGATCATCATTAATACCTGAAATTCTATATCATCATCAATACCTGGGGTAGTTTTACTTAACATTACCATCCAATCAGCTAAAATTTTTCCCACTAGTACATTCACGGAAGATTCTCAAAGAAGCAGTCTATAAAGCATAATGTAAATTTTAGCTTCAATTGATCTCATATATTTACACACACTCTCAGTATAGATTTTGCAGGAGCAAAATAACATCATTTGTTATTTACAAAATTCACCATTGGAAAATTGCTTCATTCTCGAGAAGTTGAGTTTCGGGAACATGATGAGCTACGGACGTGTTCCTCAAGCTTATACATTTTGCTCCTCAAGCCTATACATTTCATTTACTAATACTGTTTTCCTTTTAAGTAAATGGAATAAAATTTCCCCAAGTAAATTTATATCTAGAATTATCCTTTATTACTGGCCAAGTCTCTAACAGTTCGTAGTCTCTGAATATTAAAAAAAATCCCCAATGGTGCGTTGTCTGTAATGCATTACTGTCCAAATTCTTAATAAGAATGTGTATGAAATTAATGGATATTGTAAATTTTCAATATTAAACTCGAAATTATCAAATTGGATGGATTTTTTAAATTGTAAAATTGTCGATCTTGTTTACTAATAAAGATTCATTCGTTCGTATTGAATAAAATAGGTCGCAAATTTTCCTTGCTCAGTGAATAATACCATAAATTTCCACTATGGTTAAAAGAATTTTAAATGATCGATAATTGGACATTGCTTTTTTAAAAATATATTGCAAGAAGGCCCTTTGTTCTCTGCCCAATATTTTATTTCTGTTTATCCTTATTCCTACACAAATATTCATGCCACCATCATCTCACTTTGCTTCTAAGTCTGAGAAGAAAGGGTAGGAATACCAAGCAAAATCGGAAGAAGCATTATATTCTCTTTCAGTGATCCTCTGGAATTTTTAAACCTTACAATTTCACTCTCTTGAGAAAAAAAAGAGCCCATAAACAATACAAAGATAACCAACATCTGTTCCTTTCACTCTTTTTCATCTAATTTTTATATACATCCCTTCTCTCTGTCTTTCTCTCTCTCCTCTCCATCTTTAATTTAACAATTCTGTTTACTAAACTTCCCTTCAAATGTCTATGGATTACGTTGCTGTTGATCATTATAAATCTCAATGAATATCACAATCAGGAGAATATTGAGAGATTCAATGAAAAAAGGCGTCTTAATTTGATACATAAAATTTTAAATAAATTATTTCTTCACATCAAATTCTTAGCTTTTTATTTTTTTCTTTTTAGCTTCATTCATTTCCAAATTTATGAATAAGAAATGATTTGTTTGTGTAGAAGAAACTTCTTTGTAATTCACACTTTGGCAGTGCTTTCAATTCCTGATTGCTTTACTCCGGTGCTTCAGAAGGATGAAGTGCTAAAAGAGGTAGACTGTTGTTGAAGTTTAATGCTATGCAATGGAAGTAAATCGATAAACTATTGATGCTGACGTGGGAAAGGAAAGGAAAGGAAAGGAAAGGAAAATGTTGAGGGATGCCGCAATGTGCCAGATATGATGCTTACTTTCTTGTCTTATTCAACCTTTACTTTTCAATTTTCAAAAACTAATTTTTCTTCTTTTTAAATTGAATTTTTGTCATTCCATTTATTTGGCTAAATAAAAGTTGGTAAAACTTCAGTTTAGCATTTCTTTGTAAAAGAGTTATTGGTTGGAGTGTGCTAGCACAATATTCAGAAAATTCATAAAATAATCATTTAAATGATAATTCTTTATCATAATTACTTTTAATTTGATTGATTGATTCCATTTATTATTTTTCCTATAACAATTTCTCACTGTCAACGTGAAAAGTGAGGTTAAATTACGAATTACTTTAAGATTTTAATGAATGAAACTAAAGAGGAATTTAATAGATCGAAAAAAGAAGCTATGATGATAACCAGAGTGTTCATTAATGTGATATTATTTTGCTGTCAAGGTAATTTTGGTGATATCGAATGGTGATTTTTTCAAGCGAGAAAAACTTATGTTATTTCTTCATTCTTTTTTCTTTTTTTTCATATCTTTTATCAATAAAAAAATCTCTAAGATGATTTCATATACTTCCAATAACACTACAAAAAATACAAACAGTAATTGTACGGGACATAATTCCAAAAGTGATCTTGTAGCCGTCATTTTAGTATTAAAGCTAAAGTTAAAAGAGTTGGAAAATCTATCAAAAAAAAGGTAAAAACTGCTGAATTACAAAATGATTTGCGAGTAAATATTATTAATAAGTAATAATTTATGAAAAAAATTTCTCATATGTATATATATTAATATAATGAAGTGGAATGTTTTATGTCTAAAAAGAAAAAAAAGGGCGATGTAATATATTATTGAACTTGAAATGTCTCTCAAATTTGAGATATTTAAAAAAGATTTTTACATTAATTAGCTCGTTTATGAATGCATGAGTCAAAATAGAATTATGAGGTAATGGGGAGAGTGTAAAAAAATCCCGGATTTCTACTAGTATAAAATAGGGCCAGAAATTCAGTTAATATCAGCACATTGCTGATAATCAATGAAGGTCAGTCAAGTAATTGACAATCAATCAAATGATCAAATTAATCAAGAAGATGTTTGATTGTTTACTTCGCAGCCAGTACAATTGTTTTTTTAAACTGCGCTACATCCATCATTTGCTATACGTATGTATATGTCATAAACTTTCATTCAACTTGCGTAACACGCAAATTCTGCACCTTTATTTCATTAGCTCAAGTTCTTAAATCTGTTTATGACACTTCCCATTAGTTGTACTAATTATTAATGAAGTAGAATTCTTGAAGGCAATTTTGCGTTATATAAATAAATAAAAAATTTAAGAGAGAAATTTTGATAAGTGATGCCAGTTTTTAAAATAAAAGCAAACATGACAGCTTGCATCATATAAAAGTAAAATATATAAGGGGAGGAAGGGGAGAGAAAAAAATAAAACAATAATAGAATTAAATCAAATTAGATTTCTTGCACCATATAATATTACGTATTTACAAATAAATTATTGCGTGCATAAATTCATCCAAGCCTATTTGTAGCATAATTGTTGAATGATATTGCGTCATCAGGTTGAAATTATTCGATCAGTCAAAAGAACTCACCTTTAAGTTAAGGTCACAGTCTATTAGTCAAAATAGTCCATTGCTTTCAGATTCACCTTAATGCTTTGTGATTGCTGAAATTTTCATGAAAACTAGCCATGCTTCAACTTTCTATGCCTGTGAATTACTCAATTCGAAAGGAAGAATTTGGGACGTATAATTTTTGAGAATGCAAAAATTATTATACCGAAACTTAGCTTTGAGTTGGATCTAATTTTGATGCTTATTAAATGAGCTTGTTTGATTCTCAATGCTAATTACTTTTGGTATCAAATTGAAATTGATAGCAATTATAGTTTCTTAAATTTGTCTTCTTGTATATATATATACATATTTCCATTCCATAACGTTGGATACAAAAAAGAAAGCGTAGTTTCAAGTGCATATCATTTTATCATAAAAAATGCAGAAATCTTCAAAATCCTGGAGCGAATTTTTTGACAAACGTTTTCAATTTTCATTTTCGCTGCTCCGAATTTCAAGAAATTAATAAATGTCATTGTACAGTTGCTATTGAAATGTGTCATTTTTACGCTTTTAGTTTTTCCTTTTTTCCAGCTTATATCTTCCTGCATCCTTCCTCAGCTTATTTTACGATTCAACATAATTTTGAAACAAATCTGACTTTCGAGACGTTCGTATTTGTCTCAATAACGCTATACTTTTATATTTATGCTCAAGTCCTTTAACATTAAAAAATCATTATAAGTTTAAAAAAATACCAAAACAAAACAAATACAAATGAGCAAAGTCAGTAAAAATAAATAATTAACTCTTAAAAGGTCCCAATCTTTCAATTTGAAAAAGATTGCCTTTCTTGTTTTTTACTTTCTTTACCACAGTTCTTCCTTTCAAATGTTGTTATTTCAATATGAAACATTGTTCATTAGAAAGTTTTTGAATTTTATGTAATTCAAAATAAATGATGGCACAA